GATGTAGGCTTTTGCTCTCTCTGGGATCAAAGAGCACCAGAAAGGTGTGTGTGTGTGTGTGTGTGTGTGTGTGTGTGTGTGTGTGTGTGTGTGTGTGTGTGCATCATGGGGTTCCACTTGGGAGGCAGATGGAGCTGGTGGGTGGGTTTTGTCAAGAGGATTTAGCAGGCGTGGCCAGCTGCTGCTGGGTGTCCTTTAATAGAGATAGTCACCCCCACCACCACCCTCGGAAAAAGAGAAATCCCTAAAATGCTCTGTGTTGGGGCAGATGCACAACAATACAACCCAACACGACCATCCAAGAGCAAGAAAATAGAACCAAATTCAGGGTAAAGCAGAATGACAAGGTAGTAATGTGCAATAACCTTGAAAGATTAACAATGGTGCATTCAATACACTGCAGTTGTCCATAGTTGTGCAACTCTGCCACCTCTCTTGCACCAGTGTCAGTGACGCTGTGAGCCAGTTGTGCCTTGTAGCATTACATTACATTACATTAGCATTACAAGCACAAGCTGGGGTATTTTTCATAGGAAGAAAATGAAGATAAGACAGAATATGTGGGCTCCATCTTTCAATTATTGGAAGAATTTTTGCAGCACCTGATGAGAGTTGATGCCAGCTTTGGTTGGACCCGGGTCTACGCATCCAAGACCTGGAAGATTTGCTGAGAGTCGAAGCAGTTAGCAGTAGCATTTTGGAAGTGGAGCCACCGTCTTTCCAGGCCAACACTGTGCTGTCACTTCATTATTTGTCCATCCTTGAAGCAGTAAGTACATGGTAGCTCATCCAACAAGCCTTCATGACAGATGTTCCCACCTGGATTTGGCCCTCTATACACCTGGGCTTTTTCTCTTATCAGGATCTTGGTCCACTGTAACCAAGATCCTGTCATGAATAACAAACATATGTCACCTACTTGTGGGTTGTCCTGGTCCATCAGTACGGTGCTGTCTAAACCCTACCTGTGTGGTAACAAAATCCCTTGTTTCCATGAAATGGAGCGATCGTGGCTCAAGAGTTGGGAGTTCGCCTTATAATCGGAAGGTTGCCGGTTTGAGCCCCGGCTCGGACAGTCTCGGTCGTTGTGTCCTTGGGCAAGACACTTCACCTACCGCCTACTGGTGAGGGGCCGATGGCGCTTCTGTCAGTCTGCCCCACGGCAGCTGTGGCTACAACTGTAGCTGCCTCCACCGGTGTGTGAATGGGTGGATGACTGGGTGTGTAAAGCGCTTTGGGGTCCCTAGGGGGGACTAGTAAAAGCGCTATACAAATACAGGCCATTTACCAAATGTTCTCTGAGTGGGCGCTAACACTAGACAAGCTACATATAAATATCAGTGCACCCCATGCTATTCCATTCAGTAGCTGAATTTTTATAACTTGTGATAATAATTATTTAAATTATTTTTAAAAAGTCACATTCACACTTGAAAACACTGCGTTCCAACAAATTTGATTTGTAGTACGGCAGTCTTTTTTGTTCTGATCTTTCTGATGAAGCCCGGATTTGTGGAAGACTCACTGTGCAGAACACAAAGTGATTCCTAAGGTCTCTAAATGTGACCTTAGGGTTCAACACAGGGGACACTTGTATATCTAGCTATGTGTATACGTGACATATATTTAGTATATCTGGAAAACCAGTTATGAGTTAGCTTCTGATGATACTGGGAAAGGTTTGGGGGCCTGAAGATGTCCAGAAAACAGATACGTATTATTGCCTACATATTCTGCACACTGAAAGACGTCTGTTCGCAGCGATAACGACGCACATGACCGTGAGAAAATAAAACTCTGGAGTCTTGCTGGTAGAAATGAGCATTGTCGTATCCCATGAGCTAAAATTAAACGCAACTGTAGAAACACGTCACCAAGTTTGGCACAGCAACAGGCCTGACTGCAACTCTGCTGCATAAGCTGGAAAGCCGTGGGTTTTTACCCTCCCTGCTCACTTTTTGCTGCTCCCCTTTCTCTTAATCCAA